CAGGTTGGGCAACAATATGATCTAGACCAGGATGCTTGGATTGCACAAGAGGCTCCACCATCGCCAGGGTATCTGTGGGCACAGGGACAGTGCTGAGATGCAGGAGGCCCTATGCCAGCTGGTCCCCTTGCTTCGGCAGCCTCGAGGCCCACCCTCTGCCTCTGCTCACCAGCTGTTCCTTCCTCCCCTGGGCAGGAAGAGCCTCGCACCCTCCTCAGGGCCTGTCTGTGCACTTGCCCTTCCCTCTGCCTGGGGGCTCTTCCCCAGCCCACCCAACCCTGCCTGCACAACCACAGGCTCCCCACTCAATCTCTGACACATCTGGTCACGTGTCACCCCTCGGGAGAGGCCTTTGTGACCTCTCTGAGGGACCGCTCCTGCTCTCCACCACTGGCACCCCTTACTCTTGCTTTTCCTTCCCACCTCTCGGAACCACCTGACACCCTGAGACCTACTGAGGACTTTGCCCAATCACCAATGAATCCCCTGATGCTCATCCAGTGCCGGGTATACAACAAGTGCTCCATAAATATCTATCAGAGACCAGATGGCCTCGAGTGGGGAAGACACGGACACTGATGACTCAACAACTTTGAGCCAGAGGCCACCCTTGTCTTCTCATCCCTGACCTCCTCCTACCCCCCAGGGTAGAATCCATCACTGTCCTTTCAAGATAAGGAAGCTGTGTTCGGCATTTCCTGGTGGATGCAGATCAGATACTAGGCATCAGCTCCTGAGAGGACAAGAGATCCTACGATATTGTTAACATCATTTCACAGAAGAGAATCTGTGTCCTGGAGAGGTTTCAGGCCACCTCCCACAGCGGGCTAGCAGGGCGCAGACCGTGCTCGGGTCTCCAGGCCCTGGACTCTCAGTCCAGTGCTCCTTCCTCAGGTTCAAAGGCTGCACGGATCTCACCAATAATCCAAGCACCACTTACCCTCCCAGACCCCGGAGCTCAGCAGGTGTCCTCTGGGGGCTGAGACAGACAGTTGCACATCGAGGAGGGAAACTTCCTGTCAGAGCGATGGAGAGTGAGGAGGACAAAGAATAATGGGCTTGGCTTAAGTTAGAGACAGGACAGGTGGCGGGAGGCACCCTAGGTGCACATTTACATTTTGGGGGAGTAATTATAAATCTCCACAGCTAAAGGGAGGCGACGTGTACCCAGCACATGAATCAAGAATGTGAGATGACACCTATTAGGGAACCGTTGTTCCCAACACAGTCGTAGGGATCTCTGTTGTCTTCACTTTGGGGTCTTTAATTAGCAGACAAGCCCGGTCGGTCGCTGGGCTTATTTGTATGAAGGGCTTGGAGCTCGAGGGCGAGGGAGGAGCAGTCCAAATCCGAGGGATCATAATGACTGTCACGATCATTATGACAAGACGTTGCTCGCCCGTGATGGTGTACAGCGTTGCCATGGGAACCGCACGCCTATTAGTAACGTGCATTTTTTAAGGTTACTGGGACGTTGGCATCCCCTAACCAAAGACGGCTCTGTGGTGGCTGCACAGTGGCCTTTGTGGCAGGACAAAGGGTCGGTGTTCTGGAAGGCCTGCCATGCTTTGGTCCTGATTTCAATTCTAGCTTGCTCCCTGTTCCCACAAGCAGCTCATTAAAATGACCTTGTGGAACCCCGTGGGGGGGCAGGAATGTCCTATACCGTGGACAGAGAGGTGGTCACACAGGGGTGTGTGTGCGCTCAGCAACTCCCTGGAGTCACTCACTTAAGCACACTTTATGGTAGGCACAAGACACCTCAATGACAAATATTTATGTTTTAAATGTCACTGTCTTCTTACTCCCAACAGAAAGTTTTCCCTTCTACAGGGATGTGTGCCTCACCCCAGAGACGTCCGACCCGCCGCCACCAGAGGCCACCCTGTGAGAGGGGACCACAATGTATGACGCACACCTCCATCAGACCCTCCATCACCAGGCACCACCCTGGGAGAGAGGACCGCCATGGGTGTCACACACTTCCTGTGTGTCGCCAGCCTTGGAGACATTCCAGTACTGAGTCTTCGCTTCCATTTAGTGAAGCCCATGTCTCTTCCCCCACTTGACAGATTGAAAAACAAGGCTCCGTGGAGAGCAGTGTCTTTCTCAGGGTCACACAGGGATGCAAGGTCTGAACCCAGGTCCTCCGTGATCCCTCTACCCTCTGGACCTGCCTTGTGGTGACCAAGTGAGATACGCTGAGGAACGGGAGGCCAGTGCGATAGTGTTTTGAAATCCGCAGCCCAGGGGGGTGTTTTTTAAAATTAAAATGAAGTCATTGAATAATGGCAAGAGAGTGATTTGTGTCATGCCAACATATTCTTATTTGTCATGTTTTAAAAAACATGACTTGACAACATTGAAACCCTGAGAGACGTCCTCTGTGGATCCAGGTGTCTTCAGTATTGTGCGAGTCAGGGTCTGGCTGCTCTGGGACCACGTTCCCATGGCACAAGCTCTCCAGCTTCTCCAGACCCCAGCAGCCGGCTCCGCTCACTAAGTGGGTGACCACCTAGTATCCAGTGGTCCACCATTTGTCCCTCACCTACCGGGAGCCACGTTTCCTTCTCCAGAATGACCCACTTCTTCCCCCACCTCCAGGTCACCTGTGGTTGAATTCAACCCTGTCTCCTGGACTGTCGAGGTGGCTTGGTCCTGACCAATCAGAGCCCCACACTAATCTGTCCACATGATTGGCATTAGCTCGTGACTGGATATAGGAGCCAATGAGGTCTCATGAAATTTTGACTAGAATCACTGTGAAAATAGCACATGGGACTTAAACCTGTGTGGCAGAGCCTGGAGCTTCTGGAAGCCATCTAAAAGCACCTGGAACTTCACAATGAATCCAACACCCAGGAGAAAGGAGTCCCCTGATGGGAGGTCCTGAGGTCCTTAATGAGCTCCTTGATCAAGCTCTACCCAAAGCAAAATATTGCCATACTTTTCATTTACATAAGCCAACAAATTTCCTGTGTTGTCTCTTCATTTAACCTGTTTGTGTTACTTGTTTGCCAGTGACAGAAATTCCTTCCCTAGGGGATCTCCCAGGCTAGCATACAGCAGGAGCGGGACCCAAAGGGTAAAAGTGATAGAAATCTAAACATCAACCTAACATAAAGATGGGAATTTTCTTTTTTTTTTAAATTAATTTATTTTTTATTGGTTGTTCAAAACATTACAAAGCTCATGATATATCATCTTTCATATATTTGACTCAATTGGGTTATGAACTCCCATTTTTACCCCAAATACAAATTGCAGAATCACATCGGTTACACACTCACATTTTTACATAATGGCATATTAGTGACTGTTGTATTCTGCTACTTTTCCTATCCCCTACTATCCACCCTCCCCTCCCCTCCCATCTTCACTCTCTACCTCATCTGCTGTTGTTCAAGATGGGAATTTTCAATGCTGAATCAGCAAGGAGTGACAACGTGTTGTGAGACCCAAGTCAATAAAATTATTCAGGTAGGTTAAAGTTTACTATCAATGTGTCCATTTTGGCCCAAGGTAGGTGGTTGGATAAGATGAATCCAAACCTTAATTTCCTTCCAACTTGATTTTCTAGTGAATATCAAGAATAGAATAGTCCAGAAAAAATGAGAAATGATACCCCATTTATGTATGATATACCAAAGTGCATAAATGCATGCTACTGTCATGTATAACTAATTAAAACAAAAAATGAAAAAAAGAATAGAATATTCCTTAGAAAATGGTCTCCTCAATATCTTAGGGAGATGCTTCTCCCACACCTGTTACCCCTTACCTGTGTATCCCGATTCTTTTCTTTAGAGCAATCACCACTATTTTTAATTCTATATTTATATTTTGTTGACTTCTTTATTTCTCTCTTCCCCACCAAGCGGTCAGTTCTGTAAGAGCAGAGAGGCCTGTGTTTTGTTTTCCTGTACTTCCCACCTAGCGAATGCTTACCACACACAGTAGGTCTGCAGCTTTGTGCCTTGAATGACTGAGACTTCCCTGCCCCTGTGTTTTCCACGAAGTTGTTCAGAAAGCCAGTGTCCAGATGGTCCCTGTGGGGTCTGTAGCCATCTCGCCCCTTGCACGCTCGACCTATTTAGACACAGCTCATCTGTATCCTGTAGTGAAGATGTATTTTGTATTTTGTTGTTGTTGTTGTTTTGCGGTACTGGGGATGGAGCCCAGCATGGCTCGCGCATGTCAGGCAAGTGCTCTACCACTGAGCCAGGCTCCCCGCCCTAGGATGTCATTTTAGTACAGGACATTCTGCTAGCTTGTCACTCAAGCACACGTACCCTCATTAGGAACATCTTTCTCTCTCTCTCTGCTTTCTTGGATTTTTCCAGCATAGAAAGCAGTTCCCTTCCCAACACCCCTCCTTGTGCTTTCTATTGTGTGGCTGCACATCGAGCTTTGCTGCTGTCCCTTAAGATAATGGAGGAAAGGAAACTCTCATTTTGGGGGCAAACTTTATATGCTAGGAGCTTTGCATATATGATGTCATTGAACTATCACAGCTACTCGACAAAATTGGCACTTTAACTCTTTTTTTTACATTTTTTTTTTAGTTGTAGATGGACACAATATCTTTATTTTTATTTCGTTTATTTTTTTTTTATGTGGTGCTGAGGATCGAACCCAGTGTCTCACGCGTGCAAGGCAAGCACTTTACACTGAGCCACAACCCCGGCCCTATAACTCTTTATTTTTATAGAAGAGAGAAGTAAAGCCCAGAGAGTCGATAATTTACTCAAGATTCAATTATCAAACTTAAGACTGTGGCATTCTGAAAATTTTGGCTCTATCATGCCACGGTTAGTTTTCAAACATGGCTGTATGTGTGTGTGTGTGTGTGTGTGTGTGATGAATGTGCACGTGTGTAAACTGTGTATGGATACGTGATAGATATTCATTCCCTAGCATTCTTTTCTGTAAATGATCTTTTGTTCTCTCTAGGCCTTCGGCTCACGCGGGCCTGGTGCACACGCACTCGCACACACAAATCATTAGCATCTATTATTTATTGTACTGGAGGAGAAGGAAATTACACAGGCCTATTAAGGGCAAAGCAAATTCCAAGTAAATTGCATAAATGGGATTTTTAAAAAGCACACAAAGTAACCCCAAAAAACAATCTGTACATTTCCAAACACCGTGAGAGCCCCGGAGGCTGTGCATGAAGAGGTCTGCTCAGAAGCATCTTGTACAAATGACCCAAGCTTGAGTCTGTTTTCTCTCCTGTCCAGCCGCATCTGCTGGACCCACAAACCCAAACCTAGTGTCAGGGAGAGTGGGGGGACTGAAACCCAAGCACCAGGAGGTCTCTGCCTCTGATTCTGGGTTATTTGAATCAAGGGAACTCATTTGGCCTCAAACACTCCATCATGTCTTTCCTCTTTCTGGTTTTATTTGGAGACACAGAGGAAGGAATCACCCAGGGAGTGGAGGAGGGCTTTCTCTTTCCAGGCTCTAACTCTGGACTCCCTCATCCAATGCCCGATGCATACGCTGGGCCAGATGGCTTGGACTCCTGGCAGCCAATTCATCTGCTCAAGAACATGGCTGTGCTTAACCTCATCCACTTGACTCTGCTTCAGTTCATCATGGGGGAAGGAGTGGGATACCAACCGGTTTAATTAGCTTAATGAGAGCTGAGGGAACCGGTCCACATTCTGAATTTGTTGCACAGAACAAATTGGTTTGCTCTGCTCCCTCCTTGATCATTTAAGAATTCAGAAGGAGAACAGCTCTGGCCAAGGTACCACATGAATGGGACTTCCGGGAGCTCAGCTCCCAGAGAGGTGCCTTTCCAAATCACAAGGGCTCAGAAGATGCAAATCAGACATTGAGCCCTCTAAAAGACTGGACTCCCCGTGGCAGAATTCCTGATCCAATGAAAGGCAAAACGTTTAATCTTTTCACCTAATGCTCAGTCTCCAAGGTGAGGTGCACAAGGAGATTATTTGAGGTTTGAGCATACAAGGCTAGGATTTCTATTTATTTATTTTTTTCCTTTGCTTGTTTTATGGTACATATGTATATTGCCTGCCTGGGAGGCATGCTTATTGGATTTTGTTGTTGTTGTTGTTGTTTTCTGAGAGGGGCTTGTAATCAGGAAAATCTGGAGATCATAGATCCAAAGAACAAGTCCCTCTGGATTCCTGGAGTGGGGGGGGGTCATAAGATCGGGGTGGAGGAATATCAAAAGCTGCTGGTGGTTGTAAAGGTCGAGGGGTCTGAGCCAAGCACTGTTGGAAGGGGGATCTCCATTTTTTCTAGTCACTGACCCCAGTCAACTCCCACAATCCCCAGCCCAAGGGAGAAAGGCTGCGCTTGGATACTTTGTAGCCAGTGCTGAGCTGAGCACAAGGGCGGGTACGCCGGGAGGAGCGCTTGCGCTCGGGGCGGGAAGGTGGCGGGGGAAGCTCCCGACTCAACTGCACAGGGAGGGGCTTACGCATCGGAGAGCTCTGCGGAGTAGGCATAGGGGTCTTCCTGGGACCGTGTCACCACCTTGAACTGGCGCCGGAGGAAACCGCCATAACGCTTCTGGTTATCCCACTTGAGCTTGGGACGGATGCGCCGCAAGAAGCCCCCGTAGCGTTTGTACAAGTCCTCGTGGCCCGCCCTTTCCCCGTCGCCGTCCCCCTCCCCGGCCACCTCTGAGCTCCTCTTGGGGTATTTGCGTAGAAAGCCCCCATAGCGCTTGACCTTGGCATCCTCCTCATCCAAGTCCAGCGCAGCAGCCTCCAGGGCGCCGTTGTTCAGCTGGGCACCCCCGGGCAGCTCGGATTCCCCTCCGTCCCCAAACCCACCGGGGAAACCCCTGAGCTTCTCCTTTGTCAGGGTGCCAGGGAGAAGTTGGCTTCTCTCCGCCTCCTTCAGGAAGGGCCCCAGGAGCTTGGCCAGCTCGCTGTAGGCTTCTTCCAAGGCTGCCTGGCTCTCCAGATCTTCCTGGCCAGCAAGCCCAAGGGTGGACGGGTTGAGAAAAGACAGGAAGCCCTGACATCTCTCCCACTCCTCCGAGGGCAGCAGGGCGTCCTGGCATTCCAGAGAGCAAACCTGCAAAAGACCCCGGAGACCACAGTGGTAAGGTCACCCTCATCCAACTCTCAATTATTTTATTTTAATATACTGGTACTGGGGACAGAACCACTGAGCTACATTCCCAGCCCTTTTTATTCTTTATTTTGACACAGGATCTCACTAAATTTCCGAGGCCAGCCTTGAAATTGCAATCCTCCTGCTTCAGCCTCCTGCTTCAGCCTCCTGAGTCGCTGGGAATACAGGCGTGCAGCACTGTGCCCGGCCCTAACAAATTATTAAAACACATGCTCTGAACATAGCGAGGCCCTATCTCTACATTAAATATAAAAAAGGGATGGGGAGCAGGGAAAGGTGGCACACACACCTGTAATCCCAGCGGGTAGGGGCGGGCTGAGGCAGGAGGACCACAGTTCAAAGCCAGCCTCAGCAACTTAGCGAGGCACTAAGCAATTCAGTGAGACCCTGTCTCTAAATAAAATACAAAAAAGGGCTGGGGATGTGGCTCAGTGGTTAAGCACACCTGAGTTCAATCCCTGATGCGCCCCCCCACACACACACACACACACACAAAAAAAAAAAACATGCTCTGCCCCACCTTGGAGCCCCTTTTCCAATATCTGAAAAAATAAAAATGAGTGGCTTTGGCTAAGCACTTGGCCACCCATTTTAATGCTCCCAATGATGCATAAAGGTAGGTGCCTTTTGTGTCCGTGTGAAAGAAGAGAAAACAGACTTGGAGAGTTGAAACAGCTTTCCCAAGGACACGTGCCTACAGGTGGCAATGCCAAAATTGGACTCAAATTGATCGAAATCGATCTTCCCATGGAGCTCTGCGTGCTCCTCCAGAGGGAGAAGATGGTTCTCCTAACACTCTCAGGGTGTGAAGGATGCTGAGAACACTTGACAGGCACGGAGCAGGGCAGCATGCTGTAGAGAGCACGTGTGAGGGGTCTCAGAGGCTTCATCAAGGGTGGAGTTGGGGGGACACAGTATCTGCTTCATGGGGGGGGGGTGACTATGAGGATGACCGCAGTGGTTGATGCTGCCACGTGAGCCCTGGCGGTCTAATGCCACAAGTCCTCATGCTTCACCACCTGAGACTGTCTGGGCTCACAGAATTGCCCCCCTTTGGCAGAAAAGGAAATTGAGGCTCCAAGAGGGGTTTCCATAGTCAGAGAGCCAGAAAGGGACACCCTGGGCACGTCTCCCCCAGGCCACCTGCCATCGTGGGCGAGGCACTGGGGAGAGTCTGCAGAGTAAAGGCTACAAGCCTGGCTGAGAGATGCCGAGACCCAGAAGAGGAAGCAAAGTTTAGAGCCTGTCACACAGATCCCAGCTGTTAGAGGTCGGGGAGACAGCTCTTTTCATGAGAGTGACTGGATTTAGAGGTGTCCATCAGCCTGGGGCTGGGGAGGGAGCAGCCCTGAAAAGGGAATGTAGATCTGCTGACTGCAAAGTCAGTGCTTCATGATTGACAGACACCCTCCCTGTTGCCAGGCATGCAGCTCCCTGGGAACCTGAATCTCTGTCCGGGCCAGAGGGAGCCCATGGCAGTGAGGTCTGGGGTGTGGATGGGAGCTGGACACAGCAGCCCCTGGTGCCTCGCCTTGTCCAGGGACAGGACAAGCCATGCACAAGGTTATGAGTACTGCGAGGGCACAGCTGCCCAGGCTTGGGACCTCCCCTCCCTGGGCTCCACACTCAGAAGGGCCTGGGCATCAGGAAGCTGGCCGGAAACCTACCAGGGGGTTGATGGGTTTGGGTCCATCCTGGGTCTTCACAGCACACCAGGCGCAGCGGGACAGGCAGTCTGCCGCGGCAGAGGGGAGAGCGAGGAGGCACGCGGCCATCACCAGCTCTGGCCACCCCATTCTCTTGTGCCTCTTCCTGCTGGGAAGGAAGAAAGCGAGGGTGGTGAAATCCAATCACCTGGTTCCAGGTGATCAATGCAAGCAATTGACAAGTGCTGAGTGCCTGCTGTATGCTAACACTTCAGCTCTGAGCGCCAACTGTAATTCCCTTGATGACATTTCAGGCTCCGTCCCACAAAGGCACAAGCTGTTCCCTCTGCCTTCTGCCAGAAAACCCTTCCTCTCCTCTTCTGTTACCTGTCACTTAGATCCTAGACTAGACATCACCTCTTCTGGGCAGCTTTCCCAGGCTAAAAGAGATGCTCATCTTTCCTATTCTCCCAATAATTTGCATCTCTTCCATCAAAGCAATGTACTGCTTGATAATTAGCTGTGTGAGCTTTCAGAGTCTGGTTACATAAAGGCAGTGACCGTGTCTTGTCTTCTCTGTCATACTTGCTCTGCGTTCCTCAAACAGGCCAAGCTTGCTCCTGCCTCAGGGCCTTTGCACTTTCTTCTTCTCTGTCTGCAGTACTCTGACGTCAGATTTTCATAAGATTCCCTCTTTTGCGTGTTGAATGAGTTCAATGTGGCATGGCCAGAGAGGCATTTGCTGATCCCTGTGTCAGCTTCCTCCGTCTCCTCCTCTGTCATCTGCTTTGATTCCGTTACACTCATGGCCTTCCCTATTTATTTGATATTTGTTCACTTGGTGTGGTGCTTTGTTAGGCTCAGGCACGCTCCCCCTGTAGAATGTGCACCTCAAGGGACACAGATTGTACCCAGCTTCTTCTGTGCTATATCCTAGCACCTGAAAACCCTGGCCAGCACATAAGAGGCCTTCAATAAATACTCCCCCGACGAAGTGATGCTTCACCAATAGCTGCTAAAAACCACCCTTTCAGCCAACTCTTTTTATAATCCAAAGTGAAGACTCAAAGCCATTCAAATGGGCACTCAGTGCAATTCTGTCCTGAGTGCTCAGGTGTTTTGGGGGTGCAAAGATCCCATCTCCTGAGCCCCAGAACCCCATGCTGTAGCCTGTAGCTCCATTTACTGAGCCCTGCCACCCTGGGCCCTCACTCCATCACCTCATCCCACTCCTCACTGTGAGACAGGCACTTGTGATGCACGGATCCACCCCCACGTCCCGCCTGCTGGGGTGAAGCTGGGGTGCAAGGCCAGTCCACTTAGTGTCGCCAGGTCTAGAGCAACTTTCACTCATTGAGAGTGTGTCCCTCGTGAGGCCCAGGGCTGGCTGCCCGCACAGGACCCCTGACCTGTGTATTGAAATCAGCCCATCACCAGCTGAGAAGTGGTCCTGGAGAGACTGGAAGGATCTCCCAAGATCACACAGGGGTTCAGGGTGGGTCCCATCTGCTCCTGGAACGGGGACACCCAGAGTGGGAGACTCGGGGAAGTGGACTTGTGCCCACCTGCGTCTGCCTCCTGTCCCCGGGCTTCTCTATCAGCAGCTGAGCGGATTAGGGTTCCGGGTGAGCGAGCTGCAACATTTATATGGAGACACCAACAGGTGGCTCACACTTTCCGGGATGGCAGCCACGGCTGGTGTGACACAGAGCCCTGGCCACCCTTGACGTCCTGGCTGGTGGCTTCCCGCTGTGCGTGGCTGCTGACATAGGCAGTCCCATGTCAATCTCCTGGGAATCTTGTCTCTCTCTCTCTGCTTCTCTGAGCCACACAGCTGTTCTCCCGCGCCCTTCCACCACCAAGGCCCACATCCACAAAGGCCCAGAAACCATGGCGCCCGCTGACCCTGGGCTGAAACCTCGGAACCCAGGAGCCAAAATAAATTTCCCCTCCTCTCGGTTTTCTCAAGTGTTTTGTCACCGTGATGAAAAGCTGAGGAACAGAGACAGGTCGCTCTGAGTGACCTCAGGGGTTAGGTCCTACACACACAGACTCATGGCGTGAGCACTAGGTCACACCCACCCGACAGGTGAGGAACCGGAGCCTGCCAAGACTCCAGAGCTAGGAGGGGCTCCAGGCAAGAGATGCACCCAGGCAGTCCGGCTCCAGAGCTCTCCTTCTGGGCCAGCGGGTACTGCCCAGGCCCCTCGGTCCACCCCACGCAGCCTCCAAGCCTCCCTTCTGGAGCAGCCTCCAATCTTGTCCTCTTAGACACACTTCACAGGGCACTCAAGGGCTTCCCTGATCCAGAAGCAACATTTTCGAGGTGCTCACTGTGTGCTGGGCCCAAGCTCGGTCCTGCATGGATCTAGGGAAGGGGTCCTCGTGATGAGCCATAACTGGACTAGCGTTCTCCCCATTTTCCAGATGAGGAAGTGGAGGCCCAGAGAGGTTGTTTCATCTATCCAGGGCCTCCCAGCAGGTACACAGCACCCTCACAGACTGGCATGAGCTCTTGACCCAATGACCAATTCCCGACCCATGCCACCAATGCCGCTGCGCTGCTCCCCCAAACCTTTGCAACACCCCTGATTTCTTCTCCCTGGAAACTTCTCTCACCCCACCCACCCCACTGACCACCTGGCTAAGTCCTACTCCCGCTTCAGATTCAGGCTCCACTGCTTCCCACCTGGATTAGGCCCCTCCTCTGAGATCCCACAGCCACCTGTGCTGGCCCTGTCCCATCATTACCTCTGAGCTTTCAAGTTCACTGCCTGAGGGCACTTTGTAAGTGCAAAGTCCCTGAGGTTGAGTGGGGGGGGGGGGTGAGGATGGCAAGGAGACCAGGGTAGAGGAAGGGCAGAGTGGGGGAGATGGAGGTTGGAAAAGTGGAGGGGTGGGCAGAGGCTGGGTAGCGCTGCCCCCATGGCCAAGGTCGATCTACAGCTGTTCTAAGTGCGATAAGACCAAGGACGTTTGGTCCAGGCATGAGTGAGTGAACGAGTGGTGTCCCCGCACCTCGTCCAGGGCTGCAGTGAGAACAGGGGCGCTGTGCCCAGTCACTGAGTACACAGGTGCCATTTTAAAACCTGCAAGAATTTTGTATTAAAATCAAAAATTTCAATTTCCAAAGCCTCTTTAAAAATCAAACTCCCTGGAGACATTGGGCTTGTGGTCCACTATGGCAACAGACACGTGCTACCTGGTCATCGCTGTCCCTGCTGAGCACCTGAGAGACAGTTGCAAGCCCCAAACAGCCAACTCCAGCAACTTGGAGAAGCAGAGTGGGGAGGAGGAGGGGATGAGGCCTCCACTTCCTCCCGACCCACAGTAGGGTCCCCAAGTGAGGTTACTGATGGGGGCTCAGACCCCAGCCCACCACTCACCACTGCTTTGGGAAAACCACTTAACATCGCCAGGTCTCCATTTTCTCTGCTATGAAATGGGCCAATAATAAGGCCCCAGATGATTGTGCAGGAATGAAATGTGAGACTGTTATGAAGCACCAAGCATGCGCGTGGCACACAGTAGGTGCTTCAATACAGCTTTGGCCTGGTCTTACTTGGGCTGTAAGGGAAGGGGAGAGAGGAGCACAGAAAAGAGAGAACATAAAGCCCTGGCGGGCGGTAGGAACCGAATCAGTACCTGGATGAACTAATAGTCGTGGGCCCCTGTGACGTCAGTCCTGCTACTGCCACCAACTCCCAGGAACCTCGGAGGTGGGAGTTTTTATTCCCATTCCACAGGCTTTCCACAGCTCCCCCAGGTCCAACGTGGCTCAACCAGTGTGACCTGGTGGCCTGGAGATTTTTCTTAGCGATCCTGTTTCCTTTCCTTTGTAGCATAAATAAATGGTGAGCAGTGTCAGCTGGGCCCTGGGGAGAGCATTTCCACCTCTCTAATGGGGTTCTGCTGAGGGATGGAGCTTGGAGGTCAGAGGTCACAGACAGCCCTGCTTCTTGTCATCTCTGATTGGGGACGAACTTCATCCTTCTTCAGGGGGAGAAGTGGAAAAGTGGAAAGTGAACCCACTCGGCAAGTGTCAGGGAACTGGCGGAGGCCATGCTCAGCCCACCAAGAAAGGAGGGGCCCCTCTTGCAGGTGGGTGGACCCGGGGGGCTCACAAAGAAAAATCCTGGGCTCTGGGCCGTTCCTGAAGCGTGTCCTCGGCCACTACCTCACCACTCAGCAACAGTCCAATAGGGAAACACGAGCTGATGGGAGCGAAGGGACTCTCCCCTAACAAGAAGCAAAGGACACTGAGGACTTGGCCACCTCCGTAATCCCACCAGCCTCTGTGGATGGACGCATCCTGTGGGCCTGTACTCACCCACTGCCCAGCCTTGTGAGGACGTCTGTTTCCAGGGCTGTTCTCAGGCTGAGAGCAGGGCTGATTGTTGAAGCAAGGATCGCACGGCCCAGAAAGCCAGAAATATGTACTCCCTGTTCCTGGACAGATAAAGTGTGTGACCCTGCCTGCCTTAAGCTGATCACCGCGTTATGGTTCTGATGGTCTTTGGGGTCATTTGCTTGGGCCCCCAGGCATTTGCACTTATTACCCAATAATAAGCCCTGCCCTATGCCTCGTTAGTGTGGGCAGCCCCTGGGCAGCTCCTGCCAGGAGGTCAGCGCACTGCATCTCCCCCACCATGAGTTCACAGCCCTTTCTGTCACTCCTGCTGCTGTCCCGGCCAGAACAGAGAGGACCTGGGCCGCTCGCCTGAGGACTTTCCTTTTCCTTAGGAGAGAAGGACATAGGCTGTGGGGTCAGAGAGACCCAGTGCCCTCTCTGTGACAAACCCCAGTCTTCGCATCTGCAAATGGGGGTGGGGGGTATCAGCTCCCCTCAGTGTCCCCTGAGACAGCAGCCTTTAAAGGGCCTGAAGTTCCTTGAAAGAGGACGGGTCTTCTGGCCTCTCCCCTCCTCGGTGATATTTCTACACGGGCGTCAGCCATGGGCTCAGAGGAGCAGCGAGTATTTTTATTAAAAAAGCCAGCACGGAATAATAATGGCTTGATTTAACGTCGCAATTATCTCTCTGAGCACTTTATCGCATATGATTATCCCTATTTGATAGAAGAGGAAATGGGAAAAGGTAGAAATGAAGTCACTTGTTTAAGGTCACATCATGAGTCAGGAGGGAAGTGGAGACAGAGCTGAGGCTCCCACACTGGCTGCAACTCCCCGGAGGAGCTGGCAGTGTCTCGGTGGTCCCCCAGGGACAGCCACCCTGCGGGCCAGCACGACTGGGCCACTGCCATGTCCCAGGCCCCCTGCACGCCAGATGGACCCCGGAGGTCAGGGACTAATATTTTTTTTTTAAATACTTATTTATTTAATTATTTTTTTAGTTCTCGGCAGACACATCTTTTTTTTGTATGTGGTGCTGAGGATCGAACCCGGGCCGCACACACGCCAGGCGAGCGCGCTACCGCTTGAGCCACATCCCCAGCCCCAGGGACTAATATTATAGCTCAAGGTCTAGGGGCCAGTGCAGGTCCTGACGCAGTCCCTCCAAGGTCGCAGAGCACCGAGTGGCAGGGATGGAACTGGTCCAGGGCACCCTCCTTATCGGGCCAAGCCCTTTGCTATACATTTGATCTCAATTATTTTATTTTTGCCTCCAGTGGATGGGGTGCAATTAGCCCCATTTTCTAGGAAAAGAGAGGCTCAGAGAAGGGAAAGGATTTAGCCAAGGCCCAGAAACCAGGGAACAGCAGAATGAGGCAGAAGCACCCCAAGAAGTCACAGAGGCTCAGGTCCACACGAAGGTCTTCCTGATACCTGCCAAGCTCTCACATTCCTCAAGATGAAACCATTTCAGGAGATTTTACTTCAACATAAAATAGAAAGTGCATCTTTGTGGGCCTCCAGGGGGCAGGCAAAGATGGACCCGAGACAGAGAAACTGTGTCCTTATTAGGCGTTCGGGTCATTGACCCGATGGATGACAGACTAGCAGGGACGGGGCCCAGGTTCTGCACGGAAAGCAAAACCACCGCCTCGTGCAGCAACCCTCAAACCACAGGACGCAGGACAAGGGTCTCACCTCAAGGGTCGGACACATTTGCTGTGCAGAAGCCAAAGATAACGGTGGCCCTGACGCTGTGGTCAGGGTGTGATCACCAGCTGCAGGGTAAAGGGTGCTTTTCCAATGGCAGGATCTCTGTGGAATCCTCACCCTTTTGTCCTTTGTGCCATTAAGTGCTGGGGAGAAGGGCAAAGGAGGGCCACCAGGGAGATGAGGAGAGACGGAGGGAGGCGGAGAATAGAGACAGACACAGAGAGAGGGGCCAAAAGAGTGACGTCCATGGGACTCACACAGCCAAGTCTAAAGACGCCTAGAAGAGCAGACAGAGGGGCAGCCGACCAGGACAGCAAATGCAGATGACAGAAAGAGAGAGGGGGAGGCTGCATGGAGGGGGAGGAGGGAGGTGACAGAACGAGGGACAGGGAGAGAGCTGGGAGGAAGCTGGCTTTGAATCAGGAGGCTGGCCTGCCGTGGGAGCCACAGATGTCCATAACTCCCCCCAGTCCTTTCCCCAAAGAGGCCAGAGACCCAGCCACATAATAACTGCTCAGTAAACACCCATCGAACTAAATTGAATCGCCCAGGAATAAGACAGGGGGCAAGGACAGTTCAAGCCACTGCATGGACAAACAGTCCCTGCAGCTTGTGGTCAACCGCTCTGGTCCGCAGAGTGCACTGGTGGACTGAGGGAGGAGCCCCGGCGCCAGGCCCCGAGCCTTTGTCTCTCCTGTGGAGAGCCTCAGCGGAGACTGGAGGTCCAGCATCAGAGGACCCCATCTCGAGGGGCTGACCTGGGTCCACCTGGCTGCCCCGGGCCGATGCTCACTGGCCAGCTCTGCCTCACAGAGACCCTCTGAGATTAATCCCCCTCTTCTAGGCTGCAATGAGAACCCTGAGGGGGGCGGCCTGGGGACCACGCTCTCTCAGGACGGCGCTGACATCAAACCAGCGGCTATTGATCCTTCGCAGAATGATGGATGGGGACTAATCAATACAGCGATTGTATAAGAATAACCCAGGGAGGAGGGCATGGGGCGGGCGGGGAGGATCGATCGGGAGGAGACCTGGTGGCCCAGATGCCGTGGATGGAGAAATGAGGTCCTCTGTTGAGGTGGACAGAAAAAAAATACAGGTGTTCGATCCGGTTTCCATCCAGAGCAGGATGGAGGGGGAAGGTGGAGGAGATCGTGAAAGATGGAGGGGGAGGTCCAACCCTGCCATTTTAAAACTGAAGACTTGGCAGCATTTATTGAGTATCTACTGAATGCTGGGTGTATTCCAGTCTCCCAGTTATTGGAGCCTCACAATAACCTCAGGGAGTGAATAGTATTATTATCCTCATTGTCTAGGTGAGGAAGTTAAGACTCAGAGAAGGATAGCTACCGTCCCAAAGTCACACAGCCGATGAGGGCTGGGATCTGGAGCTTTGAACCCAGCACTGTCTCAGGTGTTGTCATTTAGATGCTCTATTATGGGAAATAATGGCTCTCAGGAGTTTCAAGAAACTGATGACCAGTTCCTCAAACAGCCCAGAACCATTCCTCTGCCCGTTCCCCTGTCAACCTGTCAAAACGGACTGGGTCCCACCACACGGCCTCAGGAACCACCAAGACATCCCACTCCCAGCTGCCAGTGGAGACAGTGGAGACCAGGGATGTGCCTGCCCCCGTCACACCCAGCACCAGCGGGGCAAAGCCGTGGGCTCAGAATCGTGTGGGTAAGTGCGAACCTCCCCGGGGCAGCGCCACTCACCCGGCTGGGGCTGCTGCAGGAGCTCCCCACGCAGATCTCAAAGCCGGGAGGTGAATGACCTGGGAAGATAGAACAAAAGGCAAGGTGGGGTGGGCCTGGGGGGCGAAGGTGAGGGGAAGGAGGAGGAGGGTGCACCGCAGAGGGGTGGGGGCGCGTGGAGGCGAGGCCCCCGGGAGCACAGGAGCATTGACGTGGGGAGAGGCTTTGCAATGATCTCCACAGCGATGCCTGTCAAATCAGAAAGACAAGCCTGGTATGTTTTACCAGAAAGATGGTAACAAGGACTTTCAGTCTGTGGGAGGGGAACTGAAATGAGATCCAATAACCTAAAGAGCTTGTTTCCCCCTGGGAAGCTTGGAGGCTTAATTAAGGCGTGTTTGTAAAGCTTGGGAGATTCTCAGAAAAAGACACTCAGGGAAAAGTAAGAGCTTGCAGAATTGTCTATGCAACCTTGAAGTTACCAACTGGCTTTGTTTCCTTTCTTTCTTTCTTTCTTTTTTAAATTTTCTTTCCTGAAGCTCACCGCTATTTGCCGGAGTCCAACTTCCAGATTCTATAGGACTTCCCCTTTGACTGTGGGCATCTTCACCAGAGAGCAAGTGGCTTTGATTTGGAGCCACCACCCCTGCCTAACTCAGCTGCCTCCGGCTGTAATTTACATGAAAGCAACAAGTCCTTTCAAAGTAAAATAGACACGAAAAATCCTGCTCAGCCTGGGTTTCCGGGCATCTTGTCATCGTGCACCCCCCCACAACTCCCTCCAACAAAACAACCCCAAACTTCATTCCGTGTAAAATTACGTCAAAGGAAGCTGCTCACATCAGCACCTTATCAGCAATTAAAAGCCATCAGAAAAGAAGGCAAGGGCTGAACTTGGCAGTAACACTGATGTACATGATACATGGTAAATGCCAGCGCCCTGAATCTTATTAATGTCCCAAGCCCTTGTTCTCTAAGTCCAGCGAGGATCGCTGACCTTTAAAATCACCCTGATTAGCGAAACCTCTCTTGTCCTCCAGAGAGGGGCAACCCGTTTTCCCCGCACCCCGGAAATTGGCGTGGGAAACTCTGTGTGGCAGAAGGCAAGCAGAAGAAGACCCCGTAACTGAAACCAAGGACCCCTCTGGGGAGACAGCTACCTGTGTCAAGCAGGACTGTTCAGGGAGAGGGCGATATCGAAGTGCAGCCAGCCCCTCTCCAATCTGGCTTTAGTAAACTGGCCTCAAAACTGTAACTCCCTTTCCAGACAATCAGACCCAAATCCGCAACCCCCAGCCCAAGCCCCTACCCTCTCTGGATGCAGAGGACCAGAGGTACCCAAATAAAACCAAGAGCAGGAATTCCAGCACTGCTTCCGGAACTCACCTGTGTGCTGCTTTGTTCCTGGGCGGCTTCTGGGGCAGCAGGTTGTGTGGTGGTGGCAGGTGGCTGGTCCCAGACTCAGGGGCTGCCCTGACTCCACCTCAGAGGTGCCAAGGAGGCAGCTGTGAGCCCCTTCGAATGGCAGTCTGGTGCCTCGTCCCCCCTTTTATGGACTAGAGCCTCCCCCTGTCGCTCAGTCCTCGCTGAGCACAGGCTGCTGGGAGCCAATGGGGAAGTAGCTCAGAGCAGTCAAGAGCTCAGGCCCCCAGGCCCTTCCACTCAACTCCCGGCCGACACAATAGCTTCTCTTTCCGAGATGTGGAGGAGGAAGCAGCCGTGTTGGGGGGTGGGGGTGGATTCTGGGTGTAGTGCTGTTTGTCACTTGAAATCCGGCCACTTGAGCGTTGGAAGCGTTTCCAGGAGAGTGTCACAGGGAAAAAAAGAGACAGAGGTAGGGGAAGACAGAGACAGAAAGAGTTAGAGAAAAGACAGACCGGGAAAGAGAGGGAGAGAGCCAAGCAGAGACCCACAGCCAGGCGGGTACAGAGACAGATGGAGAGACAGAGAAACAGCAAAATAGAACTGGAAACAGAGAGAGAGACCTGGGAGCCTGGCAGACAAAGCTGGGGAGATAGAGAGAGACCAAGACCCAGGGGATGGGATGGGGACACACAGGCACAGGTGGAAACAGAGAGGGATGCAAACACAGGGTGGAGGGACTAACTGGGGTGCAGAAGCCGAGAGCCTCCTGATAATGAAGAGGGAGGGGATGGGAACAGCAGAGGAAGCCGGCAGACACGTGTGTCGCCCTGTGTCAGTGCCGTGGCAGCGCCTCGCCGGCTGTGGCATGCGTGTACTGGAATGTTTTCGTGTGCGCATGTTGCCTGCAAGTGCCAGTTGACTCCGGTACATGCCCAAGCCCGTGCCAGGCACACTACTCCTGGCAGAAGCTGTCTTTTCCGAAGCCAGAAGCTGGGGTTGAGCTTTCTCTGGCAGAGATGCAAAAGGCGTCCCGCGAATCCCCCTCAAAATGTGGCTGCGATGTGCCTTTGCACGCACTCCGGGTGGGGAGTGGGGGGCACACCCACCTGTGTCCCCTCTGCCCGGGCCAGCAGCAGCTTGAAGGCTGTACTCTGCGTGGCTACAGATACCTTCCAGAACACAGAGGGACTCGGAGTTTGGAAGGAAACTTGTTCCTCTTCTCAAGTCAATGGCAGATGAGTGGTCTGGGGGGGAGGCTGGCGGGGCTGCCCAGTCTGTGGGCACCTATGCTGCACCCAGCAGTGAGCTAAAGTTGCTGAGTTCCATCTTCGTGACCTGGCCAGATAGGCAACGGCCTTCCCATCATGCAGAAGAAGAAAGACTTGAGAAGCAGACTTGAGAGCTGAGAAACTTGCCCAAGAACACACAGCAAGTCAGTCCCCAAGTGAGCATTGATAACCAGGCCCCAGCTGGGCGTGCATGTCTGTAAGCCCAGTGGAGGCTGAGGCAGGAGGATGGCAGGTTCAAGGCCAGCCTCAGTAGCTTAGCGAGTCTCTAAGCAACTTAGCAAGATCCTGTCTCAAACAAAACAAAACAAAAACCTCTGGGGATATGGCTCAGTTGTTAAGCACCCCTGGGTTCAATCCCTGGTTCAAAAACAAACACCCAAGCCCCCAAGTCCTGCTTCCTTCTCTACCTGTCCCTGGGCAGGAAGGTTAGAATCTGCTCAGTCTGAGACCTGGGGCCCAGGAGTGTCCTTCTCTGGGAGTCCATTTCTCCACTTTAAAAAGTGGGTTTGGTTTCCAGTTCTGTCTCTTGCAAGTGATGCCGCCTGAGCCAGGTTAGTGACTTCAGCCTCGGTTTGTTCATCTATAAAATGGGGACAAAGCCTCCAGCTGGTTGGGCTCTTGAAGAGTAAAACGAGGACAGGCGATAGCACTCGTTGCGGCTGATCCTGGGTGAGAGCTCTGTCGCCAGTGTCCCTGTGATTGCTTATTCATTCCAGTGCCACCGTGCACAGCTTCCCCAGGGTGTCACCCTCTCCCTGTGCCTGGGTCATTATGCTCTTCATAGAAGAAGGACAGAAGGGCCGTTCTCTGAGCTCCTAATACATCTCAGGCCTTGCCAGCCATTTTGTTATGTCCTCACCAAAAGCAACCCGTGGTGTGGACACCACGATGTCCTCAGGCAGATAGGGCAGCTCAAGTTCAGGGAGGGAGGAGTCACAGCCGCAGCACCGTCCCCTCTACCCTTGAGACCATCTCCCCACTTCCAAAGAGGCCTCCTCTGCCCCACGCCTGGCTTTCCCTCCCCACCTGGGCGCGTGGGCTCCGACAGGCAGGTGCCCTGGACGGAAGCCCCTCTCCCCAGCCCTAGCGGCTGATGGCTCCCCAGGATCCTTGGCCTCATCTCAGGTGGCTTCCTGGCTGGCAGCCTGAGGACTCCGTGGAGTCTATTCATTGTCACCCTGGGGAGCTGCTGCGTGTCCCCAAGGCCCAGTCCTCCCGGCAGCTGCTCTCCAGCCTCCTAAGTCCCCGCTGCCCAACCTCTGCCTCTGCAAGCTCCTGGTGAAGGTCCTGGGGGCAGGTCGATGGCCTCCACCCTGGCCATTAGCAGGCTGGAGGGACAGAGGAGCCGGGGCCTCTCAGGACCACTATTCATTAAAAAGAGAAGTAGGACGTGGAGAGTGGGGACACTCGTGCCTAATCCTGCTTCAACCACAAATGTCTAGTGTCCTCCACCTCCGGGATCTGTCGCCAGCCTCCAGGGCACACAGTTCACGCATCTCCTTTCCATCTCCTCCCGCGATGTCCTCTACGCACACATGTGGGACAGGGATGGCCTTCCCCTCGTCCTACAGAACCTTGACCTGGAGCTCAGGACTCTCGGGGTCAAGGTCAGGGGCCCAGGCAGCAGCACAGGAGGAACCCCAGGCTCTGCAGGGCTCACGCACGCCTGACTCCAACCCCCTGCTGACTCGCCGCGTGACAACAGGGGACACGGGACACGTCGCCTCTCTGAGTCATCTTCTGAAGGCAGGAGAATGGGTCTGGCTTTGTACCGTTGTCAGGACTGATTCCCAGGCTCTGTCCTGCTCCCTGCCTGTTCTCTGTGCATGACGATGTCGAGATCCCAGGGTGGGCAAAAAACAGAAGGAAAAACTTGAGGTGACAGCCGTCCAACCATCGGCTACAAAGAACACGGCAAAGCAAAAGCCCAACGCCCAATAACAAAACTTTAAAACAAAGCTACCATCTTCTTTTCTTTCTTCCTTTCTTTCTTGCTTTCCTTTTTGGCACTGGGGATTGAACCCAGGGACGCTCTACCACTGAGCCACATCCCCAGCCCTCTTTATTTTATTACAGGGTCCTGCTCAGTTGCCGGGCTGGCCTCGAGCTTGTAATGCTCCTGCCTCAGCCTGGAAGTACTACCTGGGATCAAGCCGCAAGCCGGCATCTCTTAAAGGCTTCCTCCGTGCAGGGTCCTGTTGCAGATCCTCTATGTTTATCAACCACCCTGCAATTAGAAGAGATTCCTACTCCCACTCTACAGATCAGAAAACAGAGACCAGGAAAAGTAAAGTCACTTGCATGAATCCAGGCAGCTAGAAAGGGGCAGAGGGCAGCCTGAAGCCACCACGATGTGTCGCTCCCTGCTTCTGCCTGGTGCTGAAGCTCCGTGTGTGTCCTGTACTCACCTGAGGTCCTGGAGCAGCAGGCCACACAGATCACTAAGGACGTGGGCGGAAGGTGGTCCCCTCCTTGGTCAGCTTCATGTCTCCCGGGTCCCTGTGCATGCTGAGATGCATCCATGGGAAGGCCATGATGGGGAGAGCAGGCCAGACCCCCGCTGCCCCAGATGTGTGTGTGTTCAGCTGTCCTGGGAGGAGTCAGGAGCTGTGTTCGCGTCTTTCTGTTTCCTTTTTAAAAAATTGTACATCTTTATGGGCTACAATATGATGGTTTGGTATTTTTTTACATTTATATATTGTGTATTGATCGACTCGACATATTTAGGTTATCCATCATCTCATGCATTTATCATTTGCTTGTGATGTGGGCATTCAAGACCTCTCTTCTGTTTTGAGTTTAATAATACAATATTGTTGACTGTAGTCACCCTTCTGAGAAACAGTATGCCAGAACTTATTCCTCCGATCTGGCTGTGACTTGAAGCCCTTAACAATCTCTCCCTGTCTCCCCTTACCCTCCCTGGTTCTGAGTTTAGCTAAACTAAATCAGATGCCCTAGATGCTTGAGGTCATGCGGTTTTTCACTTGGCATGTCCTCCAGGTTCATTCAAGTCGCAGCAATCACCCCCACTGCCCGCCCATCCTTTTTTATGGCAGATGAGTGGTCGGGGGGGGGGAGGCTGACGGGGCTGCCCAGTCTGTGGGCACCTCTGCTGCACCTGGCAGTGAGCTAAAGTTGTTGAGTTCCATCCTCGTGACCTGGCCAGATAGGCAGAAGAAGAAAGACTTGAGAAGCTGAGAAACTTGCCCAAGAACACACAGCAAGTCATTATATATGCATACCACATTTACATCAGTTTTCATGAGTCTTAATCACAATGGACAAAAGGTAAAAACATACCAACAGATGAAGGGATGAATACAATGTAGTTGAGTCACAAAAAAAGTTCTAACCCACGCTGCAACCTGGATGCACCTGGAAGACACCGTGCTAAGTGAAACAAGCCAGTGACCAAAGAGCCAATCCTAGCACGGGTGCATTCCTGTAGACAGCAGGAGCTGGTCACGGGCCGTCAGAGGGAGCTATGGCTTAAACAGTCTGGAGACCCTGGGATGCTGGAAAAGTTCTGGAACTGGATAGGGTGGTGGTGGCACGACCTTATGAACGTATTTCATATCGCTGAACTAGACACTGAATATGGTGACAGAGTACATTTCATGTTGTGTATATTTTACCATAACTTTTTCTCTTTTTTAACAATAAAAGAGTGGACGTGGGTGGAGGAAGCAGCTCAGTGGCGGAGGCCTTGCCTGGCACGTGCGAGGGTCTGATCCCAGCCCTGCAGGAACAAGCAGCCACGAGAGCCACGCCATCATCACACAACTAGGAAGAAGAAACCAGAATGCAAGCCCCATGGTGGTCTCCTTGAAGCCAAGGGTCCCTTGTCCTCAGGAAACCTCCCCTCCTCCCTCTGTGTCCTCCTGCTGGTGAACATTTGGCGCATATTCACGAAGAGACTGAGGTTGCCGCGACAGGGTGGATCCAACGAAAATGGAGGAACTGGTGGAACTGGAGACCTGCCCTGGGAGTGGGAGGTCAGTGGGACCTGCTGACAGGCGGGATGCAGGGACGGGTAAGAGGGGGTGAAGA